CCCTAGTTTCCCTTTCATTTTCCATTTTTCTTTTCCATTTGATTCTCCATTATAGTAGTTTCCATTTTCTTTTCCATTATCCCAACATAACCCCAATATAACCCCAATATAACCCCTATAATCCATGTAGTTTCCATTTTCTTTTCCATTTGATTCTCCATTATAGTAGTTTCCATTTTCTTTTCCATTATCCCAACAAAACCCCAATATAACCCCATTATAACCCCAATATAACCCCTATAATCCCTGTAGTTTCCATTTTCTTTTCCATTTAGGTACGGAGCTAAGGCCTGGAGGAGATCGCACTCCTGCAGAAAGTTCGCCACGAGTGCGTCGCACAGCTGGTGGACTTGGTATGGACGTCAAAGGACACTGGACACAGGGTTTAGGGGTTTAGGACTGGGTTTAGGGGGAGTTTAGGTTTGAAATTTAGGGTTTAGGATGGTTTAGGGTTGTGGCCCGTCTTAGGGTACCCTAAATATTGTGGGGAGGGGGGGGGGGGCGGTACTATGATCGGGCGCCACGCAAGGACGACAATTTTGAGAATCTGCCATCTATGATATAAACACTTGGAGGAACATGTATATATATATATGTGTGTGTATATGTACATATGTACGTATGTACGTATGTACGTATGTACGTATGTACGTATGTACGTATGTATGTATGCATGCATGCATGCATGCATGCATGCATGTATGTATGTATGTATGTATGCATGTGTCTCTATATGGACTTGTTTGAACGGATTTTATCTGCATGTTTATACAGATGCAGTGTAGCCGCTTGAATTGCAAACGCTGCGGTTTGCAGGTTGTTTAGCATTGCTCTTCGGGCGCACAAAATGTTGCAAGGACATGCTCAGCTATTGGATCGTTCTGAAGTTCTATCCTGGCGGAGATGTACAAAACGAAATTGATGATTGCCGAGAGAAATTTGCCTGCATGTAGCAAAGCGTGACACCCATGGCATGTGGGGATTCCAGCAAGTAGTTCCCGCACCCATAGGTGGGATCCACAAACAACTTGGTCTTTACTTTGGATCTTCCAAGCTTGAGAGCATATGATGTAGGCATGCTACCACATACTGCCGATAGAGCGATCATAACCCTAAACCCTAAACCCTAAACCCTAAACCCTAAACCTTAACCATCCCACATGGCCTTGGCCTTGTCCCCTAAAAGTGTCAGTAAAGCGCCACGTCTCTCAGGAACGATTTGGAGCTTCCACTGGGGAAGGCCAAGAATTGGGTGACCCAGCTGTGCATGGCACTGAAGCATGTGCACAGCCTTCGGATAGTGCACCGAGACGTCAAGGGGAGCAACATGTTCATCACAGGAGACTCCTGGCTGAATCTGGGTTTAGGGTTAAGGGTTTAGGGGTTTAGGGTTTGGGGGTTGAGGTTTAGGGTTTGGGGGTGTAGGGTTTAGGGTTTAGGGCTTTAGGGATCTCACTTAAAGTTACCACAATATGGGCACATGGTACAAGATGAGAGGTTTCCTTTTTATAGTAACCCTAAACCCTAAAACTTTAAATACCCTCATTTAAGGTACCTTCTTTAAGTCGTCGCAGTAGGTTGGGCAATTTAGAGCAACCTCACGCGACCTCACCCCAAATGGTGGTTCATATAGGGAACAGCACCAAAATTGCCTTAAATTAGGTATTGAAATTATTCTGACTGATCCCCGTTATTAACGGTACATGTTTAAGTTGTCGCAGTAGGTGCTTGGTGGCATGGGCCGCATTGCTCTAGTGATGAGCTGCGGAGAATAAACTGACAGCCCAATCTGCCTGGGGATGATTGGGTTTAGGGTTTAGGGTTTGAAGGGCTTAGAGATGAAAGGGTCTAGGGTTTAAAAGGTTTAGGGAATAAGGGTTTAGGGTTTCAGGGTTTAGGGCATGGGGCTAAGGGTTTAGGGTTTAGGGCATAGGGCTGAGGGTTTAGGGTAGGTTCCAATCACAGGCATGGGGTTTCCCAAATTTAGGGGTACCTTTAGGGTTTAGGGTTTAGGGGTTTAGGGTTTAGGGGTTTAGGGTTTAGGGTTTAGGCTTATAGCGGTAATATTGAGCTATAGTCTAAACTCCTAACAGAGCGATTATATAGGTATTTATATATGGGACAACTCTATAGGGGATATTAAGTGGGATGATATTAAGTGGGATACTAGGAGATTGGACTATGGCCTCTTTTAGGGTTTAGGGGTGTGGATTCCCAAAATTAGGCCTCTATTTTGGGAAACTACCTTTTCTGGTCGAACTAAGAGACCGGCAACCTTCAAGGATGCTTCACAGTGAAGGGTTTAGGGTTTAGATTGTCTTGCTGTTAAGGAACCCACACCGATTATGATGATTTGATCTAGGTTCTTTTTAGGCAGGCCTGTAGAACCGCAGAGAAGACATTGCAGCATTTGGCCTTTGCATTCGTTGCGCTTAATCTAGCTGTTGGCCGAGACAATTGAGAGGAAGGACCTTCTACAATCAATGAGGTATTCACTTGAAGAACCCTAAACTCTATACCCTATATCCTAACCCCCCCCTCCCCCTCACCCCAAAGGAGTAACATGCGGACCAAAACTGTCGGACCTGATCTTTCTCTCTATCTCTCTGTCTCTATCTCTCTCTTTCTGCTTGGTTCTCTCTGTCTCTCTCTCTCTCTCTCTCTGCTTGGTTGTCGTAGTATTGTTTAGGGTTTATAAGTTGTACTATTGACTGCTTGTAGAGAAGGATGAGTAGTAGAAGGAGTAGGAGGAGCAGGAGACGGAGCGGAGTTTCATTTGTTGTCAATTGGGAGCCATTATCTTTAATAGCCCTTTTGGGAATATCACACCTCAAAGCGCTAAAAGGTTGTTTGTAAAATTCATGGTTTGCAAATGAGACAGCCCATGATCCACTCACATCCCATTTAACATTGTCATCCCTCCTCTACATATTTTGGGCTCTCTTCCTTGAGTTTCAATCATTCTGTCCCTTTCCGTGGCCGTAGAAATCCCGACGTGCTCTCCACCTGGAACAGTTTCGTCTCATGCTGCTGTTGACTTGCCATTCGCGACCTGCATAACCGTATGTCAAGTGGCTAGATACACTGCTGCCTTGTCCTTCCGGGCATTCGATTCAATTCCATAACCCCGCGAAACCACCTGAACCATGACCCTACACACCAAACCCTGAACCTAAAGCCCCATACCCTAAACCCAAAGCCCCAAACCCTAAACCCTAAGCCCTAAGCCCTAAACCAAAGTAAGGCACGCAATATTGTGCTTGGGGACTTCGGGGTCAGCAAGCAGCTTACCGAGTCCCAGCAGAAAGCTATGACTTCGGCCTGGCTCTCAGAAAGCTCAATGCCTTTGATGGTATTGTTTAGGGATGTTTAGGGTTTGGGGATCAGCGCCTGGAGTTTAGGCTTTAGAGTTTAGGGTCTCGGGTTTAGGGATTAATTAGACCTTAGCGGGTTTAGGTTTTAGGTCTTTTATAGGGGGTCTATAGGACATATATAGAGGTCATTTAGGGATAAATGCGGTTTGGGTTGGGCTTGAACATTCTTGGGACTTAGTCTAAGTAACTATTTACGACTTTGCTTTGTAACCCTACTTATAATCCGCCTTCCTGGCTCCTTGTAGGTTGTCTCAGCTATAAGTGCACTCCCCCAAACTAACATGGAAACCCTTATAGCCCCCCTTTGAAAGGACTGTAGTCTTTATAGGGCCCTTTTTGGGTTTCCATGTCCGGGAGGGTAGGGTTATAAGCCCAACTATAAGTAGCTACGAAGCCCTATGAACCTTCAAGTACCCCTCAGGGCCTGGGGTCATGACTCATGATGTTTGCCGTCAACAAGCTCATGATTCCGCCTAACTAGCATCGAATGCCTTACCGACCTCTTCCGGAGACTATATGCGCCTTTTTGGGGCTACTTGTGTGGCTTTTGGTAAACCCTAAATCCCAATCCGCGGATCGTTGCAGGTAGGCCCGGAAGGCTGACAGATACCGGAATGTTCATGGGCGGCAATTGGTTCTAACTTGGGTAAGATGAGGGGTAGTTGTACTATATAACCCTACCTAGGGTATTTACAACCCTAGTTGAACCTACCTGTGAACCTCCACGTATGAGGAAGTCGAGGTGGCGAAACGAATTCTGAGACAACCATGCAACTGACGATCTCGGTATTCATTACCAAGAGTTGCACCTACATGTACCCTGGGAAGTATAGCTCTTGTTCTAAGACCAAGTTGGAACTAGTAGTATCCTACAGCCCCTTCAATCATTATAGATCCACGCCAGTGCTTCCCACATGCTTCTAGGGGCCCTGCGGGCCACAATACTGCATCCGCCACGCCAGGCCCCCTCGCAAGTATTCAGGCATATCAGGGAACACTAGGCAACCTACCTTACGTACATGTACCGAAAAATATTTTGAACCCTTAAAAACATCACCCTGATAAGCATGTAGCTTAATGCAAGCTTCATTTGGGCATGATTTTCGGTGGGTGGAAAAGAATGTCTCAAGACTGTCCGTAGACCCTCCCGGAGGGGCCATTGAGTCAGTAAGTAAACTCCAAATCCCTAAACAAGTCAGGCACGTATCAGAACATATGGAAAGTTCAAATTTACCCATGCTTTAGGTTGGGGCCCCACTCACGAAGAGTGATTTATAATGATTTTTCTAGGAAGGGCCTGTGCATAGGTATGAACACATCTATATATATATGTGTTAGGCCTATGGCAGTCACCTTGTGGTCACTACCGGTGGGTTGGAGCATAATCTGACCCATGCTTCTTGAGGTCGGCAGCCCAATGTACATGGCACCGGAGTGGTGTCTGGGGCTGTGCTTGAAGTGGTTTTTCAATGTCGGGAACTTCTAGGGGCCCCAAAGATATAGGGATCTTGAAGTGGGATAAGGGGGCTTTTTTGGAGGGATTAGATGGCGACTATTGTAACTGACTATCAGCTAAGTTTGACGGAGTCTTTCCGTGCATTCAGGAAAGGCGGACGGCAAACACCAGCTAGCGGGTTCGAACGTGCAGCATGTGAACTGCTAGCGATTTCATTGTCATCATGGAATAGCAGGGGTGGACATATGAGCCACTGTCAATATTAGCCTTACCAAGACACCCTTAAACTAAGGATGGACGTAGGGGTCCTTCTTGTAGTTTTAGCGCCGTCGTTATTATATTCCCTAATATATTCCAACCCTAAGCCCTAGACCCGAGACCCTAAACGGGGATCCCAAGAGTAAGGATTATAGTATATTGGGGTCTATATTAGGGACCCTTTATTATAATTGTGGGAAACTACCACAACTCGTTTTGTCATCCAAGAATATGCCAAACCTTGAGGCGACTAGCTTCTGGTCAAATCATGCAGACCTTAACCAATTTCAACCCAAGAGGCTACCTTACATGATCCATATGTTAAAGTCCTTAAGGAGGGTTATGTAAGAGATTATGGGGGGAACTACTATGGGGGTAGTAAGGGGTACTGGGAGTTTAGACTATAGCTCACATGGATAACCACCGGAAAAGACACGCATTTGAGCGTGGTGATGTATGCTAGCCTGGCAAACGGGTTCCTTGAATCCCTATATAACCCCCATGTAACCCAGGGTTTAGGGTTTAGGTTTGGGTTTTTCTTTTTCATTTGAATTCTCCACGTGCGCCAACACATAAAGCAGCAAAGGTGGGATGGCAGGGGAGGTACAGCTGCCTCGGATATGTGGAGTGTCGGTGTGGTGCTCTACGAACTCTTGGCCTTGACCGGGGCTTAGAGCTGGTTGTATAGTTTAGGTTTATAAGGATTTATATAGGGTTATATAGGGGATGTGATATACTTGTTGGGAGGGTTTTGTATCAGCATGAAGGAATTACTAGGGCGTCCGGTACCATTCAGATTATAGCATTTTTGGTGCCCACAACTCAGTATTTGGGTACTTGGATGATAAGGGGGCAGGATTTATGGAGTGGAGCGTTTATAGTCTGCAGGGCTTAACTTAATCAACTTTCGGGGCGCCCGGGGGGTTTGAGTCGGGGGATCCCATTTTTCTGTGGTTGCTATTTCAGGAGCAATCTCGCACTTCTGCCGCTGGTGAGCTCACCGCAGTGGCATTCTCAAAATGATGGTCGTTTGAATCTATCTCTTGCTTTGCAAACTGGGGTGGATGGTTGGGATCCTAAGATTCAGGACACAGTAACCGTTTATATGAACTATAGTCTAAACTCTCTGAAGGGAGTTATCTAGGGGATTGTATGGGGGATTACTATAGGGGATATTAAGGGGGATACTCGGAGTTTGGACAGTGGCTCATATGTTTGCCAAGGAGACGACCATTCGAAGCTCAGAATGCGTCTTGGTTTGCAACGAGCCGATTGCTCAGAGACACCCTGCGAGCACGAACTGTTGGGCTCGTGTTGCCTTTCGTCCCCAGGTTCCTTCAGTTCCTAGGTAATCCCTACATAACTTATAGCCCCAGTGCGTTTCATCTTCCATTTGTTTCCTTTTCATTCCCCATTTTGAAACCCTATAACCCTAAACCCTCAGGTTATATAAGCCCCATTTTTCATTGGCTTCTTTTGTGCAAATGCTCCGACGTCAGGTTCTCTCGCTGGTGCACAAGATCACCACGGCAGCTTTTTAGAACTTAATTCCTTTCCCTACTAGTAGTACAACCCACCCAGCCCCATAAAGGCGGTTTGAGCTTACTTCATGGTGCTATCAGTATTATTACTATCATTTACATCTATTATTAGTTGTAGCATTATATTTAATTATCGCTCTTCCTGGTATCATGATTGCTATTTTGGTGTATTTCATGGTACCATAAACCCTATGACCTCGTTCTCGAAACAGGCGCTTTTGGCGGACCCTGTATTGGGAATCACAAGCGGATCAAGGATTTGGGAGTTTAGGGTCTGGGTTTGGGGTGGGGGGGTCCATATCCATGGGGGTAGTCTTGAGGAAAATCTAGATGCTTATCGTTGGTTAGCTAGGAATGAAGGAATAGATCCTTAATGTAGTCGCTGTATAGCCCAATAGTACTTTCCATTTCCTTTTTCATTCCGTCATCCCCACCCTCAACCCTAACCCCTATATAATGCCAAGGCCAGCGTTCTTAGCTTCCATTCCTTCATTCCCAGGTAAACCACAGGTGGGGATGACGAGCAAGGTAGATTGGATGAGTTTTTGAATTGGGACCCACGTGCTGCAGCACCCATGTTCATAGGAGCTATAGTCCAAACTCCCTCAAGGGGGTAGATATAGGGATTATATAGGGGAGTAGTACAGGGCTTATTAAGGGGGATACTTGGAGTTTAGACTATAGCTCACAGATTCCCAAACGGGTTTATGCAGATGTGCGATGGTCACAAGGGGGCTAGCCAGGCATTCACGGAAGGAGTTCAAGGTCGAGGCGATACGTAGCTCATGAACCCGAAGCCCTAAACTGCAAGTAACTCTAGAGTGTGGTTCGCCTATGCGAGCAGTCATCCGGAAGATTGTCAAAATTCTGGCACTATGTGTTGAGCCTCAATATTAGGGGCCGCATTGTACTAGGTCACTAGGGATTGCCCCCCCAATAGCCACCATTCTTTTACCAATCTACCATTGGCATGGGGCTCCTACATCCTAAGCCCTGAAAGATCCCAAATTCGCCGGGCGTCAATCAAGCTTTAGGTACTTGTACACTGCCGGAAACCAACATGGAATCCCAAAAAGGGCCCTATAAAGACTACAGTCCTTCTAAAACGGGACTATATGGGTTTCCATGTTAGTTTGGGGGCGTGTAGCTTTTCATCTTTGGGGTGGTCCATCCATATTAACCCCCCAAACCTTAAGCTCAAGCATCCAAACCTTCAATCCCCAAAGCTGTAGTCCAAACCTTGAACTCCCAAATCCCATAACCACACCCATAAGCTTCTTTCAGAAGGACCTCCCACATGTACCAGCCACAAGCCATACAAACTAAAGCCTATACCCTCAACTCCGGAACCTTGAATTTCTGGGTTGCTGGTAAGGCGCTGAAGCTACATTACCTTAATATGGGTATGAGGCAAATAGTAGGTTCTCTTGTTACAATATAGCCACTCAGCCTAAGTTCCTTAACAGCAACCCAGATTTTTTACCCTAATCCCTGAACCCCTAAACCCTTAACCCTCCCCCCACCCCCCTAAACCCTAAA